AAAAAAATCTTCCATTGACTCAACATGCCCTCTCAGCAGATAGTTTAGGGTATATACTTTCTGAAAAGGGGTAATTTGGGGGTGTTTGTACTGCTCCGGCATTTTAGCACCTCAAGAAATGTGATAGGCAGTCAGAAAGTAAAAGCTGAGTAAATTCCAATATATATATAGATATATATATATATACACATACATTCCAACCATAGTTTGTAGGTGCTATAACGTTTACACAAACCAATTAATATACATGTATTGAGATTTTTTTTACCGAACCGAAGATATGTAGTAGAATACATTTTGGCCTAAATTTATGGCGAAATTTGTGTTATTTTTTTTTTAACAGAAATGTTTTTTTTTTAATTTACAGTCTTTTTTCATTTATATCACAAAAAAAATGCCATCGGTGATAAAATACCACTGAAAGACAGCTCTATTTGTGTCAAATAAGGACATAAATTTAATTTGCGTACATTGTTGCATGACTGCAGAATTACCAGTTGAAGTAGCTGCATAGATGAGGCGGCACTAGTGGGCATTGATGAGGAGGCACTGATGATGCTGCATTGCTGATTATCAGTGCAGATCTCCTCTGACATTTGCCGGTTATCGGCAGTACTTTGCTCACGCAGTAACAGCGTGATAAAAGTGCTGCCGATAACCACCAACTATATTTGCGCTGCTGGGGGCGCGTTTTGGGAGGTCGTCATGACGCCCATCCAGAACTGGACATCTGTCTTTCGGCTATAGCATGGTTGTAAAGTGGCTAATCACTACTGGGTTTTGAAACATTTCTTGCTAAACAAATAAAAAAAGACTGAAAATTTTGAAAAGCAAAAACCTTTTTCTTAATTTCGGTTATTAAAATTTTAAAAATAAGTAATTTTTCTTCTTCACTAATGTGCGGTGATGAGACTGCACTGATAGGCAGTACTAATATGCTGCACCGATGGGCAGTGATAAACTACACTTATGATGCTGCACTGATAAGGCAGCATTGATGGGCACTGATAGGCAGCACTGATAATAAAGGTACTGATGATCAGATCCCTGATTATCAATGTAAATGTCCTGTCACAGGATAGCCGGTTATCAGTTTTCCATTCCATACACTGTGACAGCACTGAGGAAAGGAAATGCCGATAACCAGTATTTCTTCACGTGATCAGCTGTGACTGGACACAGCCAATCACGTGGTAAAGGGCCGCTGCGATTGGCCCTTTACCTCGATCTGTGATCAGCTGCGTCTCAAGGACACAGTGATCGCAGAGCATGCCTGTTGGGTGCGTAGTTCTGGGAGGCTGTCAATAGATGCCCTCCCAGAACTGGACAAAAGATGGTTACAGCATGGATGGCTGACAAAATCCCAGGACACAATTTCTAGACACCATGGCAACCTGGAATTTATCAAGCCCTGACATACCAGTATGTTGCTGCCTACTACTGGGTTTCAGTTGTGTGCTCCCCACTGTTACTGTACACAGCTGGAGCCTTGTCAGCATGTCCCAGACAATGATTCACGGCCAAGACCTGCTCATCAACTGTGAACAATCACAGCCCAGAGCTCTGTGTTAGTAAACACCACAGAGCTCTGTACAGAGGGCTGCAATCTATAAGCTTCTCATCCCTGCAAAGCAGGGATGAGACACTTAGAGGTCTATTAACAAAAACAGCACACTATACACATAGTTAAGACAACACGTAAAGTGGGGCCCCACCTAAAAGGGGACATTCAGCTTTAAGGACTGCTCCCCGTTCCCCATTAAAGATTGACACCTTTAGGGGGGGGGCGGAGCGGGTACCTGAATTTGACAGGCACCCGCTCCCACTTCCGGTCCGATCGCCTGGGGCGATCGGAAGCGTAAGGTGTCCTCCCTCCCTGACACGTGACAGGTCCCAGAGGACTACAGGACCATTCATGAAGCGCAGTGCTACTCGCGCATTCACAGTGGGTACCCAGCTGTGAAGCTGCAAGCTGTCACAGCCGGGTGCCCACACTGAAGATGCCGGCCTCCTGGAATACAGGATGGCTGGTGAAATGGGCTGCGGGGGGGGACACACCTTGGGACTGAGGGACAGGTAAGTGGCTGTTTTTTAAAAGTCAGCAGCTACAGTTTTTGTAGCTGCTTTTATTTTTTGACAGGGTGAGTGTAACTCAGCTTTAACCCCTTGATCACCTTAGATGTTACTCTTTCCCAGACAGTGTCATTAGAACAGTGATAGTGTATAGTACTATCACTGATCACTTTATTGTCACTGGTGATGTCAGTGGCAGTTAGTCAGTCCCCCCCGTCCCCCCCCCCCCCCCCCCAGCGTCAGTGTCAGATTGCCTGCAGCACTATTGCAGTCTTGTTAAGGCTCTGAACACCGCCATTAGTAGCATAAAAAAATATCCAGTATATATACAGTGTGGATCGAAAGTTTGGGCACCCCAGCTAAAAATTTGTATTAATGTGCATAAAGAAGCCAAGGAAAGATGGGAAAATCTCCAAAAGGCATCAAATTACAGATTAGACATTCTTATATGTCAACAAAAGTTAGATTTTATTTCCATCATTTGCACTTTCAAAATAACAGAAAACAAAAAAAAATGGCGTCTGCAAAAGTTTGGGCACCCTGCAGAATTTATAGTATGCACTGTCCCCTTTGCAAAGCTGAGACCTGCCAGTGTCATGGATTGTTCTCAATCATCATCTGGGAAGACCAGGTGATGTCAATCTCAAAGGTTTTAGATGCCCAGGCTCATCTGACCTTGCCCCAACAATCAGCACCATGGGTTCTTCTAAGCAGTTGTCTAGAAAACTGAAACTGAAAATAGTTGACGCTCACAAAGCTGGAGAAGGCTATAAGAAGATAGCAAAGCGTTTTCAGATGTCAATATCCTCTGTTTGGAATGTAATTAAGAAATGGCAGTCATCAGGAACAGTGGAAGTTAAAGCAAGATCTGGAAGACCAAGAAAAATATCAGACAGAACAGCTCGCAGGATTGTGAGAAAAACAATTCAAAACCCACGTTTGACTGCACAATCCCTCCAGAAAGATCTGGCAGACACTGGAGTTGCGGTACACTATTCCACTATAAAGAGATACTTGTACAAATATGGTCTTCATGGAAGAGTCATCAGAAGAAAACCTCTTCTATGTCCTCACCACAAAAATCATCGTTTGAACTTTACAAATGAACATATAGACAAGCCTGATGCATTTTGGAAACAAGTTCTGTGGACCGATGAGGTTAAAATTGAACTTTTTGGCTGGAATGAGCAAAGGTACGTTTGGAGAAGAAGGGGCACAGAATTTAATGAAAAGAACCTCTGTCCAATTGTTAAGCATGAGGTTGGATCAGTCATGCTTTGGGGTTGTGTTGCAGCCAGTGGCACAGTGAACATCTCACGAGTAGAAGGAAAAATGGATTCAATAAAATTTCAGCAAATTTTGGATGGTAACTTGATGCCATCTGTGAAAAAGCTGAAGTTAAAGAGAGGATGGCTTCTACAAATGGATAATGATCCTAAAACACACCTCGAAATCCACAGGGGATTACATCAAGAGTCGTAAACTGAAGGTTTTGCCATGGCCTTCACAATCTCCTGACCTCAACATAATTGAAAATCTATGGATAGACCTTAAAAGAGCAGTGCGTGACAGACAGCCCAGAAATCTCAAAGAACTGGAAGACTTTTGTAAGGAAGAATGGGCAAAGATACCTCAAACAAGAATTGAAAGACTCTTGGCTGGCTACAAAAAGTGTTTACAAGCTGTGATACTTGCCAAAGGGGGCAGTACAAGATATTAACTCTGCAGGGTGCCCAAACTTTTGCAGACGCCATTTTTTTGTTTTCTGTTATTTTGAAAGTGTAAATGATGGAAATAAAATCTAACTTTTGTTGACATATTATAAGAATGTCTAATCTGTAATTTGATGCCTTTTGGAGATTTTTCCATCTTTCCTTGGCTTCTTTATGCACATTAATACAAATTTTTAGCTGGGGTGCCCAAACTTTTGATCCCCACGGTACCAGTTTGCAGGTGCTATAACATGTATACATTTTGGCCAAAATTTAAGAGGAAAAATTGGTATTTTTTGTAAGTAAAAAAAAAAAAGTTTTTTTCAACATTTAAGGTATTTAATTAACCCAGTGGTGATCAAATACCACCAAAAGAAAGCTCTATTTGTTTGTTCCAGTTAAAGAAGTACAAAGTTTTTTGGCTGTAGATCACAGGAGTGCAATTCGTTCTGCACTCCTGTGACCCATTTTCAGCTGACAATGGGCTAAAGCCCTCTGTCGGCTGATGTCACTCAGCCAGTCCAGGATGGAGAAAGATCCTGACTTTAAGGTCGGGATCCATCCCAGAATCTGCAGCACCTGGTTCAACCTCTCAGCGATCCGCTGAGAGCCTGAGTCAGCTGCTCCCTCCCCTTCCACAGTCTAGCACTCCAGTAAGCGCTGGAGGAGGGCACAGCAAACAGCAGTGGCTGACAAAACGGCAAAAACACAACGCAAAATGCAATGCAGAAATGGCTCAAACGCAACCTGCATAGGTGTGAACCTAGCCTTAACCTAGGTTCGCACCTAAGCGTTTCCCGCAGCGTTTTGCAGAAAAGCAGTACAGTCCATTTAACCACTTCCAGTCCTGACACTTTTACCCCCTTCCTGTCCAGGCCAATTTTCAGCGCTATCACACTTTGAATTACAATTGCGCGGTCATGCAACACTGTACCCATATGAATTTTTTTGGCATTTTTTTGAGACAGATAAAGCTTTATTTTGGTGGTATTTATTCACCACTGGGATTTTTATTTTTTTTTGCTATATACCCTATTTTTTGCTCCATAAGACGCACCTGACCATAAGACGCACCTAGGTTTTAGAGGCAGAAAACAGCAAAAAAAAATTCTGAACTGATGGACGGCAGACACAGTACAGGAGATGACCAGAGACTGCGGACAGCACAGGGATGACCAGAGACTGCGGACAGCACAGGGATGACCAGAGAGTGCGGACAGTACAGTAGATGACTGCCGACCTTTGGGGAGCGGGGGGGGGGGGGGAGCGGGTACCTGAATTTGACAGGTACACGCTCTTATTTCCGCGGAGTTGTTCTTTGATCTTACCTGTTCCTCTATCCAGCCGTGCGCTGTCTTCCCAGCTTCTGTAGTGTCGGCGCTCGGCATGGTAGCCGGGTGCCCAGTGCGCATGGGCGAGAAGCACTTGCGCTTTGTGATTGGTCCGGCGACTTTTGGGATCTGTCATGTGTCCCAGGTACCGCCTTACCTTTCACAAAAAGCACCGCTTCTTGCGCATGCGCACTTGGCACAAGGCTGTCAAGCCCAGCGCCCACACAACAGAAGCCGGGAAGACAGCGCACCGCTGGATAGAGGAACAGGTAAGATCAAAGAACAACTCCGCGGAAGTAAGAGCGGGTATCTGTCAAATTCAGGTACCCGCTCCCCCCCCCCCCTCCCCAAAGGTCAGCAGTCATCTCCATAAGGTCCCGCTGCAGAGCTGAGTGGCCGGCCCGGTATTCTGACACAGCGGCTGTGGAAATACTGGACCGGCCGCTCCATATTCGCTCCATAAGACGCACTGACATTTTCCCCCCTTATGGAGCAAAAAATACGGTAAATGAAAAAGTCCAAAAATTTTGAAAAAAAGTGTTTTTCTTTATAAAATTTTGCAATTAAATAATATTTCATCATAAATCTTGGCCAAAATTTATTCAGTTATCTTTTTAGTAAAAAAAAATAACCCAAATTAGTTTATAACCAAAATTTTATATATTTTTTTTTTATATTATTTTTTTCTACATACTGTCACCCTAGCAGTAGTGTCACCATGGTGACACTGTACTACTTGTGGGGGGTGATAAAGATTTTTTTTTTACACCCATAAAGGCTGTAAAAGCAATAATTTCTCCTCTCTGGCTGCATTCTTTCAGCCATTGAGAACTACTGTGTGAGCTGTGATTGGTCACAGCTTGTCACATGGTACAAGGCTGTTGTGAATAGCCCCTGGAGTGCCACCGTCCTGCTGTTTATATACAGTGGCCGGATGGCAAGTGGTTAACATGATTTCCTATGGGTCATGTTCACATCGCTGTGTTTTCACCCTGTGCGGTTTCTGGAAAGGGTCAAGTTGCGTTTTTGGTTCTTTAGAATTCAACGTAAACGCTGCAGAAAAGCATGTAGTGCGTTTTTGCTACATTTTAAATCTGCCTAGCAACAAGAAAAAAAACGAATGAAAAAAAAACCTCAAAACGCAACAAAAACTCATCCAAAACACAGGTGCAAAAAGCAATGCAGAAACGGGTCAAATGCAACCTGCATAGGTGTGAACCTAGCCTAACCCTAGGTTCACACCTATGCATTTTCTGCAGCGTTTTGCAGAATTGCAGTACAGTCCATTTAACATGATTTCCTATGGGACAGGTTCACATCTCCACGTTTTTTGGAAAGGGTCAGCCTGGGTTCACAATTGTGCGGTTCAGCATATCGCATATGATTCACACAGAAACCGCAACACATTCTTGTGCAAATCGCATGCGAATTCTGTGCGGTGTGACTTGAGCCATACATTTTGTATGGCTCAAATTGCACCATATCCGCATCAAAAAGGTGCAGGACCCTTTTTTTTTTTTTTTAGTCCGCACTAGAATCAGATCACATGGGTATACACACCTATGCGATCCGATTCTACACATCGCACCGCATTTTGCAGACCGATTTCAGGGTGTTGTTAACATACACACCTGCAGCGGTTCACAGGAACGGGGTGCGATTGTGATGTGGTGCAGAATTTGCATAGAAACCCCTACAAATTCTGCACCTCATCAGTGTGAACCCAGGCTCAGGGCCTTTTTTTAATGCAAAACTTAGCGTTGTTTTATAGACTTCAACAAGAACTCTGCAGAAAAGCATGTATTGCGTTTTTGCTGTTTCGCTTTTAAAATCTACCTAGCCACAAGAAAGAAAAAAAAAAAACAAACCACATCAAGAACGCGTCATAATACAAGTGCTAAAATGCAATGCAGAAACGCATCCTGCCTAGGTGTGAACCTAGCCTTAGAATGTGTACATTTTCTTTGTGTGTGTCTGCCCATCAGCCTTGTGACACAAGGGGAAACGACAAGGTTGATGTCCTGCACATAGGTGAGTCACCAGCAGCGGTGAGAGCGGCTTGGCCAACTCTGCAATCACGTGACAAGGTACGAGCGCGGGAGCCAACATTGATCAGGCAGAGCAATTGCACACAGGAAAACCAGACCAGGAAGGCATATAAAGGGACAACCTCTAGCTAGGTTGCTAGAGAAGGAAAGCAATGATTACATCTAAAAAAAAAAAACCACCTCGAAGCCATTAACCCGTGTTAAAAAAAAACCTCCTTCGTTGTTACAATCCACATCCATCGCACTCTCATTTACCTGAATTTTAAGTACTGTCCACATGGAAAAAATACGCGCCTTCTACGCATGGCTAGAAAAGAAGGCAGAGTGCAAACGTGACGTATTTCTTGCGACACTTACGTAAACAGATTAGGGACTATTCCACTGAAGCCATGATGAGTCCTGGCACACTTACAAAGGATATGCTTTTACCGGATTTCCGTCTTGTGAATTGTTGATTGTGGTGGCTCCTTGCAGACAGGTATAGTACATTTGGGGTGATGGGACAAGAGGCGGCAAGAGCATAGCGTGGATTTCGTTTCTATTTTGATCTTGTGCATGCAGCTCTAAGCTTTACGGCTGTTCTAGTTTTCATTAGTTTTGAGAAATGCTTATGTCGTAAATAACATCATTTGGTGACGCTTATTTAGGCTTGTGGTCGATATTTCTGACCTGTTCGGTATGTTTATTCAATCAGGCGTTCTCAGCTGTGAAGCCTTTGCTCATTCTGACTGGTCTACTAAAGGCTGGCAATCGATACCTGTACTTGCTCTATATTTCTCACGATCATGGGTTGAAGTGAAGATCATTTTTTGTTGTTATTGATGAACTGCTTGGTTTTTATTGCTACGTGGGTTTCTTTTGAGGAGGTTGCTTCTTACTTTCTGCCTTTGTGACCACCGCTGCTGGAACAGGAAGTGAGGGGAGTTTTACCCCAGTAGGGACAGTAACATTAACCACTTGCCCTCCAGAGGATTTACCCCGCTTCCTGACCAGGCCATTTTTTTGTGATACGGCGCTGTGTTTCTTTAACTGACAATTGCGCGGTCATGCAGCACTGCACCCAAATTAAAATTCTGTCCTCCCCCCCCCCCCCCCCCCCCCCCCCCCCCCCCACAAATGGAGCTTTCTTTCGGTGGTATTTGATCACGTGAGTTATGTTTTGCGCAATAAACAAAAAAAGACTGCTATAAAACATATCCAGTAAAAAAAATCAAATTCTGTCATAAATTTAGGTCAAAAATTATTCTGCTACGTGTCTTTGCTTAAAAAACAATCCCAATATGTGTAAATTAATTGGATTACATGAAAGCTATAGTGTCTACAAGTGGTGTATATTGGAATTTTTAAAAAATTTTATTTATTCTAGTAATGGCAACTATTAGCGACTTATAGTGGGACTATGGCGGGCATTCTGACATTGGGTGGAAACTAACTGCCGCTGACATCCTCAGTGACACTAACACAGTGATCAGTGCTAATGAAAAGTACTAATGACCTATACTAATGACACTGGGCAGAAAGGGGTTAATAGCTAGGGCGATCAAAGAGTTAACTGTGTGCTGTGTTACTATTTTGTCTGTGTGTGTGCTTTACATTGTAAGCATGCTGGTGCTGACGGGAGAGATTTGTATTGTTTACATACAACCCTGTCAGTGTTCCTCGGTGATCACCGGGTGCTGGTGGGTAATCTCTGGCCGGGACACAGTGATCGACAGCTGTAGCCGCCAATGGCGGCGCACGTGTGTATATGTATGTACGTATGATTGAGATATATACCATATTTTCCGGCGTATAAGACAACTGGGCGTATAAGATGACCCCCTACTTTTCCTGTTAAAATATAGGGTTTGAGCTATACTCGCCGTATAAGACTACCCCTCTTCCAACGCACACCAAATAAAAAATCATCAGATTTGATTTCAATATGGTATGCTATTTCAGTATGGTATTCCAATGATGGGGTGCTATTCCTCCCACTGACACCAATGATGAGGCACTACTCCTCCCACTGACACCAATGATGGGGCACTATTTCATCCACTGACACCAATGATGGGGCACTATTCCTTCCACTGATACCAATGATGGGACACTATTCCTCCCACTGTCACCAATGATGGTGCCCCATCATTAGTGTCAGTGTGTGAGGAATAGTGCCCCATCATTAGTCAGTGGGAGGAATAGTGCCCCATCATTAGTCAGTGGGAGGAATAGTGCCCCATCATTGGTGTCAGTGGGAAGAATAGCGCCCCATCATTGGTGTCAGTGGCAGGAATTGCGCCCCATCATTGGTGTCAGTGAGAGGAATTGCGCCCCATCATTGGTGTCAGTGGGGAGAATAGTGCCCCATCATTGGTGTCAGTGGGGAGAATAGTGCCCCATCATTGGTGTCAGTGGGGAGAATAGTGCCCCATCATTGGTGTCAGTGGGGAGAATAGTGCCCCATCATTGGTGTCAGTGGGGAGAATAGTGCCCCATCATTGGTGTCAGTGGGGAGGAATAGTGCCCCATCATTGGTATCAGTGGGGAGAATAGTGCCCCATCATTGGTGTCAGTGGGGAGGAGAAGTAGTGCCCCATCATTGGTGTCAGTGGGGAGAATAGTGCCCCATCATTGGTATCAGTGGGGAGAATAGTGCCCCATCGTTGGTGTCAGTGGGAGGAATAGTGCCCCATCGTTGGTGTCAGTGGGAGGAATAGTGCCCCATCGTTGGTGTCAGTGGGAGGAATAGTGCCCCATCGTTGGTGTCAGTGGGAGGAATAGTGCCCCATCGTTGGTGTCCGTGGGAGGAATAGTGCCCCATCGTTGGTGTCAGTGGGAGGAATAGTGCCCCATCGTTGGTGTCAGTGGGAGGAATAGTGCCCCATCCTTGGTGTCAGTGGGAGGAATAGTGCCCCATCCTTGGTATCAGTGGGGGGAATAGTGCCCCATCCTTGGTATCAGTGGGGA